ACTCTTGACAGACTCTTCTGCCAAATAACAGCAACGCCAAAACTCGCTTTTGTAGAAATGAGAAGCAGACACACTGGAAGCACCAACACCATGCTGTATTTGCGGTTCATCCCTTGGAGTCCGGAGGTGCCCTCCTTGGGCCAGGCAGGAGAAGGAGGAAAGTGACCAGCCCCCCAAGGGATGGTTCAGTAATTAATGCCATCCTCTGGTTTAACCACAGGCCCCCAGGAGAGTCCTCTGTGCCAGCAGGGCTCTGCCCCCCTTTCAGGAGGCTTTCTGAAAAGAGGGGCAGGGTGCTGCCGATCCCCCCCACTTTGCTCCTTTGGCTGGAGGCTCTCTCCCCTCCTCCAAACTCAGCGACGCCTCCTTTAAACAGAACCTGTCACTGGATCCTGTTCGAAAAGGCAACTTCTGGGCCTTTTGGCTGTTGAATCAGCCCTCTGCCCCACACACTCCCTTCCCAGGGAAGGACCGGCGGAGGGCGGCTGTCTCTGCTCCTTATTTACAACTCCTGGGCAGGCTGCAGGTAAAGGTGCTATTGAGGGCAAAGCCCTCCTTGGCACAAGAGGCAGAATCAACGGCCACGGATGGAAACTAATCAAGGAGAAAAAAGCCTCCTAGAACTACGGAGGAAGCTCGTGACAGGGAGAGGAATTACTCAGTGGAAGAACGTCAAGGACTGTGGAGTAAGCTACGGCTCTCCAGCCTTGGCAATAAAACTTGTGGACTAAAACTCTCAGGATTCTGGGAGTTGAAGTGCACAAGTCTTAAAGTTCCAAAATGGGAGGGCCCTGATACAGGCTCTCCTGTCGAGCAGGGGGTTAGACTAGAAGACCTCTAAGTTCCTTTCCAACTCTCTTATTCTGTTATTCAGGAGTTCAAAAGGAGGGCAGCCCCTGGGCAGTTGGGGAGCCCCCCAGATGCTTTCCCCAGTGACCTCTGCCTGCAGGGTACGGGTCCCGTATCAAGAAGGCAAAGAAGCCGCATTGAGTGTCCCCCCCACCGTCTCTCTCCACCCCACAGCTCCTCTCTGTATCCCAGAAAAGGTCTCTCTACCTGCTGTAGCTGCTTATGGGGCAGAAGCTTCAAGGTCTAAAAATATAGGAGGTTATCAAGAGGTCAAAATATCTCTGAGCAGCTGCAGGCTCTGGAACGGCCTCTGGGCAAGTCTGGCTCCCTGGGAGCAGGTGAAGGAAGACGCCCCCCCCCCCGCCACCTATGCCCATAGCCTGTGCCATCTCCCAGGCCCCAAAGAGTTCAAGTCCCTGGTTGTGCAGGGGAGAGCTTGCCCTGCTTCGTCCGGTCTTCTCCAGATCCTGGGGAGAGTCTCGCTTGCTCATTCTTCCCATAATCGGATGGATTCAGGAATCCTGGCCCTGGTAGGATCCACAGATCACCTCCAGAAATGGGGTTGATGCAGGCAGCCCACTTTGGCCATTGGCGGGTTAAGGCAGGAACCGACCTGGTTGACATATTGCGATCCGAGTCATTAAGGAAACCTCGTTGATTGGATGTGAGTAGCCCCTTCCTCAGAAAGAGGGGGGGCTGGCCGTGGGCACTGCAGGCTCTATCGGATGCTGCTGAGGGCACACAAGGGGCACCTGCTTGTCCTGGCAGAAACAGACACCGAGGCCCACTGTGCCAGATTCCAACTCCCATCATCCACTAGATCAATGGTTCTCAATGCCGCGACCCTTTAATGCAGTTCCTCATGTTGTGGTTGCCCCCAACCATAAAATTGGTGTCTCGGTTCCTAAGACCATTGAAAATATGTGTTTTCCGGTGGTCTTAGGCGACCCCTGTGAAAGGGTCGTTCGACCCCCAAAGGGGTCCCGAGCACTGCACGAGATCAACTTGTCTCAACCTTGATAACAGGAAGAGATGTGGACGTCAACTCCCAAAACTCCAGAGCAGAGCAGGATGTAGACTGGTTGGCAGGGGAACGATGGGAACGGGACCTCCACGAAGTTGGGAAAGCAGTAGGGAAATCAGAGCATCCCTGGAGGCAAAAGGGTCGCAGCGCCCACCCCCCAGCATCTCCCAGCCTGCAGAACCAGCTGGCCTTTTTACCGAAGCGGCCGTGGGCTGACAAACCAAGCGATGTCCCCACCCCCCCAGCCACACGTGATGCGCCTCCTTGGGTGTCTTCATCGGGGGTCCTCCCATCGACGGGGGTCGCACCTTCGACCGGTCTCCGCCCTTCCGCTTCACTGTCTCCGAGCCGGCATCCCTCCAACCTCCCCCTGAACCAGCGCCAGGACCCCCTGTGCAGGGAGGTTTTCCGGGCTCCAGGGAGGGAGGGGCTGGGTGGGCACGCCGCTTGGAGGAACTGCCCATTTCGGCCGCTGGCGGATCCGGCGTGGAAGCGCAGCGCCCTCTGGTGGCTGCTTGCAGAGCCGTAGGGCTTGGGCACAGCGGATCCGGGTGCCAGCCTTCGCCCCGGGATGAAAGCCCACCAGGCAATGCCCGGGCCGATTTCTGAAGCCGGCCGAGGGTTCCTGAGCGAGACAGCTGGCCCACCAAGAGGCCAGATGCGATGCAGAGCAGCCGAGAGGATTTGCTCAGAAGTTGCAGCCGGGAGGGCGGGGGGCTTGGCAGCGCCTCTGCAGCTTTCAGCGCTTGGCAGAGGAGCCTCCTCGCCTTGCCATCTCTTAATCTGTGCCTCCCCCTCGGAATAAATGCATTTATTAAAAGCGCTGACTGGGCGGCTCTGGCGCTCTGCTTTCTTCGCGCCCCAGGATCGTCCAGGGAACCGTCCTTGTTCGGCCCGCGAGCGGCAGGAGCGAAGGGAAGGCAGCGGGGGAGGCGGCCGGGGGCCTTTACGCGAAGGGAGCCCCGTGGCGAGCTGTCCGGCCGGCCAGGTTCTCCTGCCTTGCTTCGAAGGACGGAAGCCTCGCTCGGCAGGAAGACGGACCAGGCCCCCCTTTCCCGGGCTGAGGTTGAATCGGGATGGGGGACCACCAGGGAGGCCCCGGCTTTAACCAGAGGCCAGGGGACGCTCCCAAGAGATCCCGGCCTCCGCCTCCTCGTGGCTCTGCGGGCTTTGTTGGGTCCTGGCACCTTGGTTTCTGCCTCCTCCTGGCGACCCCCTTAGAAAGACCCCGTGCTGGAAGCGCTCTCCGATGGGACCCGGCTGGGAAGGCCCGACTCGCTGCTCGCCCGTGGCCGAGAGGATGCGCTGGCTTGGGCCTGCACAGGGTCCAGCTCCCCCTTTGCCTTTCCCCCTCCACCATCTCTACTGCCGGCCACTCTCGAGACTGGCGTTGCCGCCGCCGCCCCCCCGGGAAGACAGCAACTGTCCTGGCTTTGGGCCAGCGCAGCTTTCCCTGAGCTAAGCAGGGAAGCGAAGCGCATTCCGAGCGCTCTTCTTATGCAATATTAAAGGGACTGGAAGAGGCTCCCCCCCCCCGGCCGCCTTCCTTTCCTGCCTCTCCCGACCACGAGCGGCCTGACAGCCCTTGCCTGCCCCTCCCTCCCCTTCTCCCTTCCTCTGCTGCAAAGCCCCTCGCCCCGCCCCCCCAACCAACAGCGTCGCTTTAGCCTTGAAAGCAAAGGGCAGAGGCCGGGCGGGGACCCTTTATTTTTGGGTGGGGGGGTGGAGGGAATCTCCCCCTTGAGTCCCCGAGGCACAACGGGTAGGGGAAGAAACCTGGCCGATGCTCAGAAGCGCTCCGGTTTCACTCCGCGGTCAAAGAGAGTCCCCGGGATTTAATTTCTGCAATTCGAACTTGAAGTGATAGAAGCAGCCGAAGACACGGGACTGCGTTCACACAACCACCGCACTGAACCCAGCCATTTCATGGATCAACAGAATACAGTGACCCGTAAAGCGACCCAAGGCCGCTTCAGAGGTCAGGCCGAGCCACCCACAACCAACAGAAGTTGGAAGAAGCTGATTAAACGCGTGCAGACCCGCAACCTTTGCCGTTAGACACGTGATTCCTTCTTCACGGGAGCGGAGCGGAGGCCCGGCCTTCTCAGGTCCTGTGATTCTTGGCTTGCTTGCTCCCGTCTCTTGGGGACGCCCTGCAAGCTGCTTTCCTGAGCGCAGAGATCCAATCTTGGCCGGAGGCTGCGAAGGTTACAGAGCGCAACTCCGGGGGCGGGATTGGGTGGAGGGGACCATAGGGCAGGCCGAGGTCGCCTGGTGCGCCCGGCTTCTCCATCCTTCCAATCTCGCCCCCTCGCTCCAGCTAAGGACCGGCGGGGGACGGGCAGGGCTGGTGGGGAGGGTCTGCATGGCACCGCTTTCCCGACGGCGCGGAGCCCTGCGGTAGTCTGAAGGCCAGGCGGGGAGGGGCCCCTTTCCAACCCCTTTCCTGCCAAAGAGCCCGGGGGTTAAGCGGGCGCAGGAGGGTCTTTAAAGGAGGCCCCTCCCCAGAGGTCGGGCGCAGGTGAGAGGCGGGCGGCGCAGAGACGGGGCTGAGCGGGGCGCTCGGCTCCTGCGTGGAAAGGAGGCTGCGGGGGCTTTAGGGGAAAGGCGGGGGACCCCGACAGAAACGGGGGCGAACTGCTTTTGGGTTTCGGGGCGGCGCAGGGGGAGGGGCGGGGCGCCTCTGGGCACGTGCAGAGCGCCTTCCAGTCGCGGCCCAGGTAAGCCGCGGCTCCGCTGGGCGGGGCAGGAGCGCCCCTCCCTCCCAGCCAGGCTCTGTTGCGGAGGCTGCCGGGGCGCGGCTGGCGGATCGGGGCGCGCGGCGCGGATTCCCTCCTCCGGGCCANAAATGGAAAAAGAAAAGAAAGCCAAGCTGGGCTCTGCTCTGCCTTCTTCACCCAAAGGCAACCAGCTGCCAACTTGCTCAATGTGATGCCAAGCCCCCGCCAGAGGGGGGAGTGAGCCACAGGGAAGGAGGGGGCACCGCCTGGCACAGCTACAGAGGGCGAGGCCAGTGGCAGCCCCCTCCGGGGCTGCTGCCAATCAAAGGGTGACCTCCTCCGACTGCTGTAGCTGGGATGAGAGGAAACGGACCCGCCGCAGGGCCCACCTGGGTTGTCCACGCCGGTCTGGATGACGTCGTCCAGGGTGCAGCCGCTGGCCGTCTCCTTGTCCCTCAGCCTCTTGTACATGTCGAGGGTGATGGCCTTGGCCATGTGGTTGTTGTGCACGGAGAGGTCGGGGTACTCTTCCTCCGCGGGGAAGTTCAACTTGCACTTGTTGTGGGTGTTTCCAAAAGGCATGGTGGCGGCTGACGGCGGGTCCTGCCAGGGGAAGACGGGCAGAGGCTGAAGCGCTTGGCGCTGCAGCAGGTCCAGAGCCAGGCGGGAATTTCTGGGCAGACTTGAAAGGGCCTTGTGAAAATCTACCCAGAGACGGAGCCTTATGGGACTCGCTCCCCCCCCCCCAGAAGAGGCTGCTGGGCTTAGAAAGACGGGGAGGGGTCTTAGGGTCACTGAGAGCCTGGGAAGCTTTCCTCCACCAGAGGGAGAAGTGGATCGGACACGGGGGGGGGAGGGGGAGTCAGAGGTGATCAGTTCGGTCAGATTTCGAAAAGAAAACGAACCAGGACTTCACACTATGCCAAACTCCACCCTCTCACTGCAGGAGAGGCCTGGTTTGGGGCCACTTCCTTGCATTTGGGGTGTCAGATATTGAGTAACAGAAACATCGGGGGGCAGTCAGACCCCTATCTTAAGCCAGAACTGGCCATCTCCCCAATGTGGGGCAGCAGACGGGACCCCCTCAACCTCTGGAGATCCGAAGAGTCCTCCTTCTTGCCGTTCTTCAAAACAAACCCGTACCCCCTTTTAGGAGGGGGGGGTCTGGCTCAGCCACCATCCGAGAAGTCACCCCACTCGCTCCACCTGCTTGGGGCCCCTCAATACCAGAGGGTACCCAGGCCTGAGCCCCTCCAGGAAGCAATGGCTGGGGGCCCAGCTCTGCAGGAGGAAGCCCTTGGCAAGGCAGGGTTTGGA